ATATTGTGACTTTTTCTGGTAATATTGTGACTATTTCTAGTAATATTGTGTCTTTTGTCATAATATTTGGACTTTTTCTGTTAATATTGTGACTTTTTCTGGTAATATTGTGACTATTTCTAGTAATATTGTGTCTTTTGTCATAATATTTGGACTTTTTCTGTTAATATTGTGACTTTTTCTGGTAATATTGTGACTATTTCTAGTAATATTGTGTCTTTTGTCATAATATTTGGACTTTTTCTGTTAATATTGTGACTTTTTCTGGTAATATTGTGACTATTTCTAGTAATATTGTGTCTTTTGTCATAATATTTGGACTTTTTCTGTTAATATTGTGACTTTTTCTGGTAATATTGTGACTATTTCTAGTAATATTGTGTCTTTTGTCATAATATTTGGACTTTTTCTGTTAATATTTGGACTTTTCCTGATAATATTATGACTTTTTCTGGTAATATTGTGACTTTTTCTGGTAATATTGTGACTTTTGTCATAATATTGTGACTTTTTCGGGTAATATTGTGAACTTTTCTGGTAATACTGTGACTTTTGTCATAATATTGTGACTTTTTCTGGTAATATTGTGACTTTTTTCTAGTAATATTGTTAGTTTTGTCATAATATTGTGACTTTTGTCGTAATATTGTGACTTTTCCTGATAAAATTGTGACTTTTTTCTGATAGTATTGTGACTTTTGACATTATTGTGACTTTTCCTGATAATGTTGGGACTTTTGTCGTAATATTTTGACTTTTTCTGTTAATATTGTGACTTTTTCTGGTAATATTGTGACTTTTTCTGGTAATATTGTGACTTTTGTCATAATATTGTGAGTTTTTTGGTAATATTGTGACCTTCTGGTAATATTGTGACTTGTAATATTGTGACTTTTTTGGGTAATATTGTGACTTTTTCTGGTCATATTGTGACTTTTGTCTTAATATTGTGAGTTTTTTGGTAATATTGTGACTTTCTGCTAATATTGTGACTTTTGGTAATATTGTGACTTTTTCTGATAATGTGACTTTTGTCGTAGAATTGTGACTTTTTTCTGATAATGTTGTGACTTTCTGATACTATTGTGACTCTTGTGGTAATATTGTGACTTTTCTTGGTAAAATTAGGACTTCTCATTAAAAAAATAATCTCATAGTGTGGCCCTAACACTCCGTGGTACGTTTCCCTTCTCTCCTCTTTAGATATGTGCTATGCTAATGTTAACCAGCAGGGGGAGAGGTGTGCAGATAGTTTCAGAACCTGTTGACAGCCTCCACCCTACTTGTCTTTCATCCTCCAATAAGAGGCACCTCTCCCCTCCTCCTCCCTGCATCTGTATCTCCCTCTCGCCTATATGTTTCTCTCTTCCTCTGGGGGATTTCTTCTCTAAGTGCCTTCTACAGTAAATCAAACCACAAGGCTTTCATTCAGCCGAAGCTGAGGGAGAGTGGTTACATGTGGCCTGCAATATGCAGAGAAATGCTACATCAGAGGAGGAGGAGGAGAGCAGCACAGTCAGACAGAGGAAGAGAGGGGTTTTCTGATTTGATGTAGACTAATTACAAAATGTRCGAGACTGGATTTTAAATATTCCCATAGAGATGAGCGTGGAGGTGTGTGGTAACAGATAATGGATGATGAATTAAGATAGGTCCAGACAGTGTAAATAAGAGACTGAGGATGATGCTTTGGGGTTAGTTAGAGAAAGTCACTTTAAAGTTTTCAATCAGGAAGTAGAAAACTAGAATGCTCCAGAGTTTTTTAACTGATCACAAACTTTTAATCACTGTAATTGATGCAGAGGAACGTCCTGAATCAGGTCAGATCATCTGTTCTGTTTCTTCCTCAGGTCCTATAAGAGCAGCTCAGGGGTGAACAACAGGAAAACTGAGCTTTTCCTGAAGGAGCATGAACATCTCAGAAAGTAAGAGCTTATTTCTTTTGTTTAGAAAGTAACATTTTATTATTTAGAATTGACTTTTAACTTTTAATCCTTAACTTAATCTCTTAATGGACAGGCCCCYCAATGTATTACAGAAATGTTGACTCCTTRCTCTTCTGGCTGCAATCTCCTTAAGACCAAAAGGTTCCTAAAATCAGTTTTAAATCCCGAGTGGACATGTCCTCTCAGATGACTGTGGAACGTCCTGCCCCTGTGTTCCTGTGTCTCTGTGTCTCTGTGTCTCTGTGTCTCTGTGTCTCTGTGTCTCTGTGTTTCTGTGTCCCTGTGTCCCTGTGTCCCTGTGTCTCTGTGTCCCTGTGTCTCTGTGTCCCTGTGTCCCTGTGTCTCTGTGTCTCTGTGTCCCTGTGTCTCTGTGTCCCTGTGTCCCTGTGTCCCTGTGTCTCTGTGTCCCTGTGTCTCTGTGTCTCTGACTCTGCTGACCTCTTTAAGAAGCTGCATAAGATGCAGTTACTCAGACAAGCTTTTAGCTAAATTTAATTAGTGTTTTATTAGTCAWATTAACTTGTTTTATTATATGTTTCCATATTATTTTGCTCCTTGTGAAGCACTTTGTGATGTCTATCAATGAAAGGTGCCAAATAAATAAAGTGTTCTTACTTACTTACAAAACTAAAATGCAGATGTCTTTTAAAAAAGTCTGAAATTTTTCCTTGTTGTAGCTGAGAGTCATTCGAGTACACACTTCGAGCACAAACAGATGGCGGCTGGGATGCAGTGGTGGGGAAGCCGACTTGGGACCAGACAGTCTCATGTTGAATTCCCCGCCATGACCCACATGTGATGTCCTGGAGCAAGACACCTGTTCTGTAACTGCTCCACTTGGTTGAATGTCGTGTGATGGCTCAAATGCAGAGCACACGTTCATCACTGTGTGGGAACTTGCATTGATGACAACACATGACACCTTTTAACAAATTGTATGACATTTCTTTTCAGAAATTTGGCACACAGGACTGCAGCAAAATGTCTTATCCTTTGGGTTTCTAGTTTCMTACACATCATAGACTAATGTTGATTGTAGAGTCCAGGTGTTTCAGTCAGACCCCTGCTATAGGTGCCATGCAGTCTCCACTTGAGATACAAAACGGGTTGTTCTGAAGATCGTCATGACTTCTAGTCTGGCCCTGTCTTAGGATGCCCATTTTCAGGGGTCACCAGTGAGTCTCCTCCACAGCATCCTTTGTCCTCACTCCATCTACAGTACCTCCATTTGTTTTATCTTTTTTTTTTTTGTTCCGCTCTCGGAGGAGTAAGAAGCTTTTTCCTTCTCTCCTGCCCTTCCTTATCTTCCCTGCTTTGGTGCTCGGAGCCTTCTCTAYGTTTTCATTCGAAACCAGAAATGATGGTTATTATTATTTTTATGTATTTGGTTAGCTGGTCTCTTAATAAATTTTTGGAACAAAGTTTTTTCTTCCATGGGAGGACATGTGAAAGGTGGGACCTCTGTTCTTCTCTGTTCTGGATATATAATTGGATCCTGATCACTGGATTCTACAGATTGGCTTGGTGGTCTCCTGGTGTTCTACAAAACAGCATTGGTGGCTTTTCATTTCCTGGCTGCCTGACCAATATGAAGGATTGCCATTCTATCAGCACTCAGACTTTAGCCTTGAGCAAGCTGGACTCGGTCTGCAAGCGGTTCTGTTGAGGGTCGCGGGCCGGCTGTGGTTCCTGGACTTTGCTGGCCAGATGGAATTGATCTTGGAGAAAGCTGAGAGCTCGGCTTGACGAGATTGTCCACACTATTTGTCTGATTGGATTCGCCACATTGAGAGGTACCAGTGGACATGAAGGCAGATGGAAAATTATTGTCTGCCTGACCCAGAACATTCTCTTTTGTTCCCAAATAACTGATTACAGAATTTGTCTCTCTCCTACATGGCCTTGAGCTGTGGACTAAATTCTCCCTGGATGTTTATGTCGACTGAAGTTCTACCCCACACCTCCCCCCCTCTCACACCCATCTGTGATCTGGTTCCTGGAGCAAGCTGAGGGCCGCACAGAATGAACAGTTAACATCCATATTCTGTATTATGGCTGTGCTGGTTTTGGGGACTCGATTCTTCGGACTCATTCTTCAGATATTCACACAAGTACATACCATACAACACTCATGGCTTCAGATACACCCCCCCCAAACTCACTTACTCCTCTGGCTAATAAATATGCTCTATACAGAGGTTTTTTTTAAATAAACACCATAGTGTGTCACATTGTTGATATAATATGATTTTTTGTTTTTTCCTCATCTTCCCTTGTGTGTTTTTTCTTCTTTTTTCTTTTTGTTAAAGGTAGGGTTGCTGTCTCTGTTGCTGCATGACCTGTACACCTGTTCCCCCATGCTTGTCTTGCGTGTCTTCTTGAATGGGTGTTCTTAACTGTTTGTACAGCACCTTGTGAATTTATTTCTSTGAAAGGTGCTAAATAATTAAAATTTTACTTACTTACTTACTATGTCGTCTCTAACTGTGTCCATACATGTCCTCTTTATCCTTTTCCTGGCAGCTGCATCTCTAACATCCTTCTACCAATTCCCCCTTTGTCCCGCCTCTGGGAAAACCATCTCAGTCTGACCTCTCTAACTTTATCTCCCAGTTGTTACACCTATGCCATACCTCTGATGATCCTGTTCCTATTTGTGTCACGGTCAAGGAGAAMCTGAATATCTTCAGCTCTGCCRCTTCCAGCTCTGTCCCCTGTCTTTTTGTCAGTATTGTCTCCAAAACATACGGCACAGCTGGTCTCYTTTGCAGTAAAATTAGTACAGGTGTATCATTCATCTGCAGCACAAAGTAAATCAAAACTATGTAACAGGGCATTCCTTCAAATACAGAGA